AGTCCTGGTGGAGGAGGGGAAATAATGTTGGAAGGCTTCTTGGATCCACCTAATGTCCCATGATCATGGTGGATTTCTTTGTAGGGCTCCTCATATGTGGGGGTTGTCTGAAGGAGGCTAGATTGACAGAAATGACTATCATAGCCAGGAATGGGATCATATGCCTAGCTATTAAGGAAGCTGAGATATAAGGATTACAGTTCAAAGCCAGCCTGGGAATGGAGGTTGGCGAGATTTTATCTCTAATTAACCACCAGAAAGCCAGGTGTGGAGCTGTGGCTCAAGTGGCAGTATGCTAGCCTTGAGTGAAAATGCTAGTGGACAGCATCCAGGTCCTGAGTTCAAGCCTCAGTGTACTGACATAGAAAAAAAGAAACACAGGAAGGAAGGAAAAATTAATAAATATAAAAATAAAATAGAGAAAAGAAGACTGTCTTAAAGGGAACATGAACCTTTTAAGGGAAATGGAGAAGCCTGAAGGGCTTAGGGAGATAGGCCAACAAATCTCTGCTGGGACAGATTCCTTAATGGACATAGCAGCTCCACGTCATTTATTTTTCTATCTACCTCCCCCTTGACTGGGTATGCCTGGAGTGTGAGCTGGCACAGGATCTGGAGTGGGTGAATACTCAACAAATGTCTCCTAAAGTTTGTAGGCCTGACTCCCCAGAGCAGATGAGACTTTTGCTCTAGGTTTGCTGAGCACCTTCTGTAGACCAGATGTTGAGATCTTAAGCCAGTCCAGGGACAGCAATTAGAACCGCCCTTGAGGTTGGATTCTGAGCTGACGTCCCAGATTTCTTAGCAGAAGCCAAGTCCTTGGAATGGCCACACAGCAAGGTCAGACATGATTAACTCTCTACCTCATCCTCCCCTCTCTGCTCATACTCTATTCTGCCCACTGGCCTTCTTTCCTTCCCTTGGATTGATGGGGCAGGATACCTAAACAGGCCTTCAACAGGGCCATTCCTTTGCTGTCCTCTTTGCTTAGACCCTAGGGCCCTATCCATCCTCCTTCAAGCCTTTGTCAAAATATTATTGTCTAGCTGAGTGTTGGTGGCTCACACCTGTAATCCTAGCTACTCAGAAAGTCTGAATAGCTAGGATCTGAGGGTCGTGGTATGAAGCCAGTACAGGCATGAGAATCTTATCTCCAATGAACTACTAAAAAAGCCAAAAATAGAGCTGTGGCTCAAGTGGTAGAGTGCTAGCCTTGAGCAAAAGAAACTCAAGGACAGTACCCAGTCCTTGAGTTCAAACCCCAGGAATAGCACACACACAAAACATCATTGTCAAGAGACAAACCCTTATCATTCCCTCATTCCTGGCCCTGCTCACTTTTGTTTTCTTCTACATCATTCTGTGTTGTTTACTAACTCTCCCCTTAAGAAACATGAGCTCCTTTAGGGTGACAGTATCTGTTTTACCCACTCTGGTATTTTTGTGTTTAATGCAGTGCATGGCCATAGTAGGTACTCAGAAAACATTTGCTGAATGAACACATTCCCATTCTCACCCTCCCTTCTGTCCTTCAGTATCTCTGAGGAACTTCTGCGAGGGTTCCTGGTCACTCTGATCTCCTTCAGTGGGTACCTACTGCTGTGGGCCACATGCATAAATCATGTATACATTTATTGCGCCTACAGTTTCTGAGTATCTGTATGTGGAGTAGTAGTGATTTTCCTTGAGGACAAGGCTAGCTAGCCCCTTAGCTAAAAGGACAAGACTATCCAGGTCAAGAAACTGGAGACATTGTCTAGTTAGACCAAGGAAGAATGGGATATTGTTCAGGTTCAGCTTCTTGGAGCAATCCCACATTTATAAAAGGCTGGGACAAAGCACATCGATTTCACAAAATAAATACCTAATTGACTGTTAAAAAGAGATGGCTGCAGGAAGCCTTGGGTCCAGATGCTCTCTAACAGCCCTGGCCAGGAGCCAGGCCACCTGGATCACATCCTATTCTGGCCAGACAGGGTAAGCTGTGGCTCAGGAAAGGTATTTCTGCTCAGGGATGCCACAAGAGGAACCTAAGCTTTTAGGGTACAGGAAGCTATTCCCTTCTGTAGGAGAAAGAGGGGCTGCACTTAGGGGACAGAAGATCCTGAGAAATGAGGAATCATTGTTATCCTGATGATGACAGATGGGTAAGGCCATATGGGCCACATCCAGAGCTAAAGGTAGAGGCTGGGTGTGCCTTCCACGGGGAGTTATCGTGATGTGCTATCCTATACTGTACATATTGTATATTGTGCGGCATTGTAACATGTGGTTTATAAGGTACTGGGAATACCCCCCCCCCACCAAAAAACAATCTCCCTGCACTGGAGTTTTGTACCTTGCTGTGGTATAAGGTTGCCTCTTTCCAGCTCTCTATTAAAATTTGAGCTCTCCAGAGAGGAAAAGCAATCTGAGCTCAGAATAATAAAGATTGTGTGTCCACAGGGAGATTAACTGTGGCAGCTAACAGTGTGGAGAAGGTTCTGTAGGAAAGTGGTGGGGGAAGGGGGGATGGGAGAAGATGGAGGGGAGAGGAGGAGAACCTCCCATTTTTCTAAGGGAACTTCCTGATACAAACAAGGTACTTAATAAACTTGACTGTGGCCTGGCGCTGGTGGCTCATGCCTGTAATCCTAGCTACTCAGGAGGCTGATGAGATCTGAGAATCATGGTTCAAAGTCAGCCGGGGCAACAAAGTCTGTGAGACTCTTATCTCCAATTAATCACCAGAAAACTGGAAGTGGCTTAATGGCTCAGGTGGTAGAGTGCTAGCCTTGAGCTAAATAGCTTAGGAACAGTGCCCAGGCCCAGAGTTCAAGTCCCACGACTGACAAAAACAAAATAAAATGAAACACAAAACTTGTATGTGTAATTAAAGGTCTTAGATTTTCACTGCAACAAGGGAAGGTGTGTGAGCCATACTGGCACTGTGTAGACACAGTATCTGTATCTGTGTAGACACAGCATTGACTTTCCTGTTAGGGACCGTTGGGGAGAGACTCACTTATAGAAGGCTGGGCCTCAGACCCTTGAAGTTTCCAGCAGGATGCAATTGAAGGGTTAAAAATTAGGAACCTCACTTCACCATTACCATTATTAACTTGCTAACTGCTGACTTTGCTTCTGTAAATATGCTTGCATTCAGACCCCCTTTCCCTGGGAGATAAAATTGGGCAGTGACTCAAGTATTGGCCGGCCCAGATGTCCGGATATCAGCCCACCCAGGACAAGGACAGCGGTTATAGATAGTACATGTTCTTCAGTTCCAGATTAATTAAGCCATCCCTGGGACAAACCTTGACAATGACCACCTGGCCAGACCACAAACTGGGCCAAATGTCAACCAATCACAAGTCTGTAACTATGTGAACTCCCCTAACCCTTATTGTCCAAAGTAACCACCCTCCTTGAGTCCCCCGCGCCAATCATTTTACAAAGAGTGTTACAAAATTTCCCGCGTGGCAAAGTGATTGTTGGTGTATATGATGACCTTTAAATGGACCAATCATGGGATGCTTTGTGTTATGCATTAATCTTGTGGTTTTTGCCTTTAAAAAGGCTTGTAACCGCTGCTCGGGGCTCCCTGACCACCTGGGGCAGGGAGTCCGTTTGCGCAAACGTCAAATAAACTCCTCTTGCTTATTGCATCTCCCGGCCTGGAGTCTGAGTTTTCTGGGGCGCCCTCCCGTTGACGAAAGTATCCTAGGGGACTAGGGTCTTTCACAATGATGCCTAGTGGGGGGTTTCAGAATTGCACAGAAAGGCCCACCCCAGGGCTCCTGAATTTGAACTGCATTTCCACAAGACCCCATGGGAAAGATTGAAATGGCACCTAGACACTGCTGGCTCACAGTTTGTAATTCTAACTACTCCAGAGGCTGAGATCTGGAAGCTCAGAATTCAAAGCCAGCCCAGGCAGATTCTATCTACAAAATAAACAGTAATAAGCAGGCCTAGAGGCATGGCTCAAGTGGTAGAGTGCCAGTACAAGTAAAAATAAGCCCTGGTACAGACAAAATTTAAGAGACTGAAAACTCCTTTGACAGTACAATTGTAGAAATGGACAATTCCTTGCATACCTGGGTCAGGGAAAATCAATAGGAGTCTGTGTTTGGGTGACACACTCCTTGTATGACACTAGTGTGTTGTCAAAGGCCCTAATGAGCTGCATAATCCTATTTAGTCTGCTTCCCAGTTTCTTATAAATAAGGACTTATCTTTCATAACACCCTGCCTATTCTCAAAGCTTCAAGAAAAAAAAATTATAAGACACAATGTGGACTTTTTTTTTTTTTTTTTGGTCCGGTCGTGGGGCCTGAACTCTGGGCCTGGGCACTGTCCCTCAGCTCTTTAGCTCAAGCCTAGCGCTCCTACCACTTGAGCCACAGTGCCACTTCTGGCTTTTTTCTTTTTGCTTTTGTGGTGCTGAGGAATCGAACCCAGGGCATCAGGCATGCAAGGCAAGCGCTCTACCACCGAGCCACCTTCCCAGCCCGTGGACTTTTTTTTTAAGTGTTTGCCTTCTGATCATGATGATTAAGTTACTCAGAGCCAGGTTCCTAATTATATTATTTTTATTATTCAGTAATTCTCCATATGGACATATTTAGTTTTTACTTTTCTTTAGTCCATGACTTTTCTATCTAGTTTATTATTTGCCCCATTGCTAAACCTTTTCATTCTAAGCTATGCCAGATTGTATTTGGAACAAGCCAAAATAAATGGGAAAGGTGTGCTCTCAATCATAGCCCATCCCCCTTCTTTTAGACCAAGTCACCCTCTCAGGCTATTGACACAGAGTTAGGATGAGGGGTTGGAAGAGGCCCACCCCCTGGGATTTCTGCCAGCAGTTACTGAGAAGAGAACCACTGGAATCTGGAAGGGTGTTGGCACCGGAAGTTGGGGATCACTAGTGGGAAAAGGGTTGGCATGAGAAGCTCACTTTGTCCCATGTGCCACCTACTCCTTGCTTCTTCCCAGCCTTTTGGAGACTAACTTACCAGTTATGGAGTAGGAGGTGCTATCCTTGTCAGGCAACTTTCCACAGCCTTGGGCAGGGATGGTGGGGCAGGAATTTTGGTCACTGAGGGCCTCAGCTGCCATCTCTCTCCGTGTTGCTCCCTCTGCTGTTGAGACCCCCAGGAGAGTTGTGTGGAGCTCTTTCAGTACAGCTAGGGAACTGGAGATCAGAGTGAGCTGACCCCGCCCAGCATGTGGGATGAAGCTGTTGGTCAACTGCCTCTGGTTCATCTGTAAACACTCTGAGGTCAAGGGCAGCGGTAAGGCCAGAGATAAGACCAGCAGTGTGATTATGCTGTCCAATTCTCTGCTTCTTGATGAGGGAGATGAGGGAAGGGAAGTGACGTTTATTGAGCCCGTACTGTGCAAAATGAATGTCTCAGCTCCACTGTTTAGAAGAGGATGTGATTACCTTGTTACCCTGCAGGGAGGAAATGACAGATCTGGGATTCAAACGGGGCTCTCCAACTCCCAGATCTCCCTACCTCTTGCTTCCTAGGCGGAGGACTTCTGTGGGAAGTGACCTGCACTTCTTCAGTGACCCTATTAATACAAGAACTGAGCCATCTGAATGTGTGGCCCCATGGGGGCTGTGCATGTAGAATGGATGGAGGGAAACAATTCTGTTCTGAACATTCACAGTGCTGCTGAGGGAGGTCTCCCAGCTGTCCCTAGCCTCTTAGCAAAGGAGCAGCTACAGGAATCAACCTGACCTGAAAGTGGCTCATTTGGAGAGCAGGTGAATGGACTGTCAGGGAAGGCACCAAGACTGGCTTGGTGGTATGCTGGCTGACTTCATGGACATCTACACAAGAGGGCCATCATTAAAACCACCTTTAGACATTGCAGGTGACTCCAGCATGGAAGAAGCCTAGGCCCAGCTTGAAAAGACAAAAGAGATAAGGGTTCAGGACCTGCTGAGTGCCCAGGGCTCTGGGCCCCAGCCAATTGGACAGAGGGGCCTCCAGAAAAGAAAATTGGCTGGACCTTGGCCTCCGGAACATCCACAAGGTAAAAAACCTAAATAAACATGGGCTTTAGAGCCCTGTGGATGTCAGTTTGGATTCATGTTTTGCGCTGTTTCTCTGTTTGCTCCACTGAGAAATGGGATTGTGTGTTCCTGCTGATTGTAATATGTGAGGCATTACCAGGAAAGTGCCTGGCACTTATTAGGTGTTCACAAAACACAGGCCATCAGAATGGAAGTCAGAGTGTGGAAAAAGCCAGCTCCCTGAGGAAATATGCTCCCATGCAGGCTCTTCTCCTCCCTGTAAGAGGACTTCCCCGGACAAATCTGCAGGGAGCTGGTTCTACTTTCCTCTGCCCCAGAGCAAAGAGCCCAAGTGGGCAATGGCTATCAGCCCTTCCTCATCCTCTCTGTCCCAGGTGTGAGTGGGTACCCTGGGTTTTCTGGTCTAAGAATCAAGAAACCTAGCCCTGGCCTGCTTGGGTGGCTGGCTGACTCATATACTTTCTTCTAGCTGAGAGTCCTCCTTAGGCCACCTCAAAATACCTGGATCTTAATGTTGGCAACTTTTCCACTGCTGTGGGAGTTGGGAGCAAGCCCTACCTTGTGCATGGGTTGAGGGGCCCTCAAAGATGCTACAGGAGAGAGGCTGGGGAGGGGGAAGCAGGCAGGGAAAGAAAGGCTTGATCTCACTGGAAGTAGGAACCAGGAAAGATTTAGAGTGATTATATTTGCTTGACTTTTTTTTAAGGGAGGCTTGCTACATCCTGGGTACTATTCTTTGCATTAAGTATTAGAATTGTATTAGCTCATTTAATCCTGTAGAGAAATTTGCTTTTATATCCTTGTTTGTTTGTTTGTTTTGTGCTGTTATTAAGACTTGATCTCCATCTGTGCCTTAATCTCTCACTGTTTTTTGAACTGTGATCCTCATACCTCAGTTTCTGGAGTACTTATGATTCTAGACATGAGCCATTGGCACTTGGCTTTGCCTGTTTTCACATAGGGAAATGGAGGCAACAGATAGTTAAGTCACCTGCCTGGTGTACACAGCTGAGCAAGGGATAGACCCAGTACTCAGCCCATGCATCTGCCTCAGCGCCCAGGACCACCCCACATTCTTGTTGCCTAGATGGCCTCACTCCTTTCAGAAGTGAGTGCCATTCTCCCTGATAGCCATTGTGGGTGGAGGAAGGGAAGATACAAGGCTGGGCTAAGCCTAGAAGCAACAGGAAGCAGGTGGAATTGTCTGAGCTGCGTTTAAAGTCTATCTGTGAATGGCAGCAGCTAGCCAAGAGTGATGGGGAGATGCAAAGCAAATCTAAAGCAGAGGACAGGCTCACAGGATCTGAGAGAGAAAAATGCATTGTAATTCGGCTTAGCCCAGGAGACCCTCCAAAGTCACAGAAGGTCACAAGATAAAGATGGTTTTGGGGGAGGGGTACTCCATCCTCTTAAGGATTCATTCCAGCCTAAGTGGGTCAACAAATGGTTCCTAACATAAAAGATCTCCCCCCCCCCCAAAGACAGTAAACCAGGATCTAAAGATCAAATGTAATTTAGAAAACCTCCCTTACCCTTGGGGCCCTTGACTGCCTAGTGGGCTTATCTTGGAGAAGGACTTAATACTCGAAGCCTCTTACACTTTAACAAAAATGAGTGTGTGGGTAAAAGTTATTGCCATGATCACCTTAGATAGGATCTTCTTTCAGACTATTGAAGTGCATTCCAGGCTGGGAATGTGGCTTAGTAGTAGAGTGCTTGTCTACCATGCATGAAGCTCTGGGTTCGATTCAGTACCACATAAACAGAAAAGGCTGGAAATGGTGCTGTGGCTCAAGTGGTAGAGTGTTAGCCTTGAGCCTAGAAAGGCTAATGGACAGAGCTGAGGCTCTGAGTTCAAGCCCCAGGACCAGAAAAAAAAAAGAAAGAAAGTGTGTTCCTTTTCTAATACACTTTCCTATCCATTTCATTATGTTTGCCTGAATTCTTCTTCTTCTTTTTTTTATTGTGAAAATACTGTACAGAGGGGTTACAATTACATGGGCAAGATAATGAGTACATTCCTTCTTTCCTTCCTTTCCTTCTTTCTTTCTTTCTTTCCTTCTTTCTTTCCTTCTTTCTTTCTTTCTTTCTTTCTTTCTTTCTTTCTTTCTTTCTTTCTTTCTTTCTTTCTTTCTTTCTTTCTTTCTTTCTTTCTTTCTTTCTTTCTTTCTTTCTTTCTTTCTTTCTTTCTTTCTTCTTGGGTCTGGTTGTGGGGCCTGAACACTGGGCCTAGGCATTGTCCCTCAGCTTTTGATCTCAAGGCTAGCACTCTACCACTTGAACCACAGCACCACTTCTGGCTTTTTTTTTTTTAAATGCTTATGTGGTGCTGAGGAATCAAACCCAGGGCCTCCTGCATGCAAGGCAAGCGCTCTACCACTGAACCATGTTCCCAGCCCAATAAGTACATTTCTTATCAAGCATTGTTGCCTCCTCCTTTGTTTCCCCTTCCCATCCTTTCCCATACTCCCCTTCCACCCCCCAACCTGGTCCTTCCCCCTCCCCTCCCCACCAAAGTTGTAAAGTTCGTTTTTCGACATAACAACTTGTACATCTTCTTGTTGCAATGGGTCCACCTATATCCCTATTTAAACGATTTGTTTTTCCTCTTCCCCTCCACAAATTATACTAACATCAAATACAGTGAAAACAGGGGTTATACCGTGGGGGAGGGACATACAAAGCAACAAAGAAATCATCTTATAAATATGTTAAAAGCAATCGCATGAAAGAAAAAAACATTTTAATACATATCTTGGGGTTCATTTCCCTAACATCAACTTATCTGAATTCTTCTCATACTGGACATAAGGATGGGGTGGATTAGTAATAGCTGGCTTTCTAGTAACACCTAGGGGTCACAATTTGTCTTCAGGCTTTGGAGCCTGTTCCCAGATCCAGGGCATCACATTTAATCAGAGTTCACATCAGGCCACATCTGGCCCATGGCCCAGGGCGAAAGGCTGAAGAAAGGCACACATCTCACCTGCCAAGACCAGGGAGAGAAGTGATTACAAGACCTACCATCCATGTTCGACTTTGTCACCTAGGTAAAAACCCAGATCCTTACATGCTTGGCCAACATTCTCTCTAGTCTCTGACTTTCCTTGGCTGGAGGAGAGAATTCCATAGGGAGTCTCCCTGGGCTTGTGGGGGGAAGGGTGGGGAGGGGGTGGCGCTGAAAGCTGACTAGGTCTTGAAAGGATCTCGCTTCCAAAGGTGATCATTGTGTCAAAGCACCAGTCTTCAGGGTGGTGTTTTCTGAGCTTCAACAGTCCATTTCCTCAGAAGTGAAATGTGGGAGGGGGAACTCCCAGTCAGTCTGAGGAGCTGAGGGCTCTGCATAAGCCTTTAGGAATGAGGATGTGGAGGAAGGTGGTACCTTCAGCCCCGCCCACCTCTTAGCCAGACCCTGACCTCCACTTGACACAGGTGAGGTCATGCTGAACATCTGGCTTTAGAAATCTCAAAATCTTCTCCACACCTAAAATTCTAATCTACTTAAGCCAGGGTTGCTTAGAGGATTAGATGTGCCAAGATCTTGTCTCCCCTCCCCCCTCCTCCTGTCAATGGAATGTCTGGTGATAGCTACCCAAAGCAGTGGGTAGTAACCCCTAAAATGAATTTAGTGACAGGTCAGGTAAGCCCAGGGCAGACTTTTTTTATTGGGTGGGGAGCTTTAGAAGGGTAGGAAAGGGGCTTTGGATACGACTTTGTCAGGAAGCTCAGGAGACCAGGCCTCTGCTGCTGACCCTTCCTGGCACATGTTGCTGCTTGAATGCAATCATTGACTCCAAGGCATGCTGGGAATAACAGAGATTGGGCAGATTTATGCAAAAAACATGCAAATGCAGCCAGCCTTAAGGGCTGAATGTCCTGGGATGGCAGCTGGTTGGATGTGGGGTGTCCTCCCTCCTTTTGTTTTTTTTTTACTTCTGACTTTGCCTTAAGCTTCTGAATTCTTTGAGGGGACAGGACCACTGTCAATGGTGTTTCTCATCAGGCTTTGGCAGATGACAACAAACAACATGGTGTGTTGACAGTAAGTGGGTCCCTTTGAGCAGAAGGTACCAGGGCACCAGCAGAGGGTCCTATGAGGGGCAACTGTAGACACATTCGTGGG